CCCTCGTTTGTTGTCCTCTTCTCTCTCTCTGCCTACGGTTTACCGGGCAGTTCTGTTTGTGACGATATATATATATATCGTCAAATAGAACTGCCTGGTAAACTGTAGGCAGAGAGGGAGAAGAGGACAACAAACGAGGGGCTGTGACGAACTGTTTCGTCGGAGTTTCACCGACTCATCAGGAGGCTGATATATATATATATATCTGTTTGTGACGATATATATATCTGTTTGTGACGATATATATATACAGCCTCCTGATGAGTCGTTATATATATATCAGCCTCCTGATGAGTCGGTGAAACTCCGACGAAACAGTTTGTCACAGCCCCTCGTTTGTTGTCCTCTTCTCTCTCTCTGCCTACGGTTTACCGGGCAGTTCTGTTTGTGACGATATATATATATATCGTCAATCGTCAAATAAATACAGCCCCTCGTTTGTTGTCCTCTTCTCTCTCTCTGCCTACGGTTTACCGGGCAGTTCTATTTGTGACGATATATATATATGTTTGTGACGATATATATATATATATATATATTTGACGATATATATATATATAATTAAATGCCGACCGCGCCAAATCAGACCGGGCCTTCCAGTGGTGACTGATTCGGATTTATGAGCAGATCTACCAAACATTTGTGGCCTGACAGCCACGAATGTTTGTCTGCAAGCTTATCAGCGTCAAGGTTATACTGTATCTCAATTTCTTACAATTGCTTATCAGCTTGACACTGTTGAAAATGAGTTGTTGTATGACCGTAATGGTCTACCTCCTGAGGATAGTAATTATACTACCTCAGGAGGCTTTACTATAAATGTCTTACAGTTAGCATTTCACGGTCGCCACCTTCTCATGCATTATGGGACGCCAGGCGAGGACCTTCATGCCCGTCCTCATATTTCTGCATGCATTTTGCACAAACCTGGGCACTATATGGCACTCATTCGTGCAGCTGCCCAGTGGGAATTGTGGGATGGTGGGACAGTGATTCAAGTTATTGTCAACATAAATGAATTCTTGCGAGGTTTGTCGAATCGTACACTGTTTTGGATTGTTGAGCGTCTTTCGTGCGACATTTGTCGGGATAGAGACGTGGTGCGTCTTGGTTGTGGAATGCATTATATGTGTCAGCACCATTATCAATCCATTGCGACTGCCGCCGTATGTGCGGAAGGGTGTCTAACATTTCCTCACTGTGCACATCCCTATCATCCAGATGTACGTTGTCCTTTCTATTCCCAAGGACGCTATCAGAACTGCATGATGCCGCACTGTGACGAACGTCCTGCTGTTTTCTTGACATGTGGGCAACATGTCCTCTGTCGGGATTGTTTCGATGGGATGGTTCGTGCTAGCGGTCCGGCTGAATGCTGTACTAGCGCAACTCTCCTTGGGTATCCCTGTGAACATCCCCGTCATCCTCACCGTASTTGTCCTATCTGCCGAGGGGGTGACAGATGAAGTGTAGAAGAAACAGATAAAAAAAGAAACCGAGTAAAAAGAAAAAAAATAAATAAATAAAAAAAGAAACCAAGGAAAAACACAAAAAAAGAAACCTGAGAAAAAAGAAAAAAGAAAAAAAAAAAAAATGTTTTGTGGGATGGTAATTGTATTATCTGTGGGATAAGGGTCTTTGTGACACACGAGGATGGGGGCAGCCAGCGCTCAACCTGTCATCCACGTGGCTGGCCTTGTACGTAAGAGGTGACGAACAGGCGGGGCTTTCCTTCCTTACTTCTTTTTCTTTTTCTTGTTCTGTCTTTTTTCGCCTTTGCGCTCTGATTTCCATTGTGACAATATATGGTCGGGACCGTTACTAGGCGGCCATGCCGTGCCTCTAGTGCCAGCGGCGTGTCTGGAGTGTATTTTTTGGCTGTGACAGACCTTTCTTTGTTTCCGAGATGTTTTGCTGGCTTGTGATGGGGTGTGAACCGACAGTCTGTAGAGTTTTCCATCTGGTGTGGGTGAGTCATAGTCTACTTTGATTTTGGTTAAGGTAGATTATCATTTACAGTGTAATCAATGAGGGGATTCTGCAGACTGTTGAGSGTTCAGCCTCCTGATGAGTCGGTGAAACTCCGACGAAACAGTTTGTCACAGCCCCTCGTTTGTTGTCCTCTTCTCTCTCTCTGCCTACGGTT